TGGAGCATGGTATCGTGACTGATTGGAATGACATGGAACGTGTATGGCAATATATTTACAGCAAAGATCAGTTACAGGTGAGCCGCATTTCACTTTTTTCACCGTCAGTATGCTATAATTACCGTAAGAATGTTTGATTGTTAGTTATGAATCGTTTGTTTAGATCTTCGCTGAAGAGCATCCAGTCCTACTAACAGAAGCACCATTGAATCCGTTGAAGAATCGTGAGAAGTCGGCAGAAATATTTTTTGAAACGTTCAACGTGCCGGCTTTACATATTCAAATGCAAGCTGTTCTCTCGCTCTATTCAACTGGCCGTACAACGGGTGTTGTGTTGGATTCGGGTGACGGTGTCACACACATTGTTCCTATCTTCGAGGGTTTCGCTATTCAACACGGGTTCGTTTTTCAGCTTCATGGGTATCTTAAGTACTTGAAATGCAGGTGTGCAGTTAGGTGTATTATGGCGCCCATTAGTGCGATCGGTCTTGCTTTGAAAGTAAATTCTGAAATACAGGCCAGTGAAAATCTTGCATTCTGTCACCATTTTATATCGAATCTGCCCTTATATCGCGTACGACGGCTTTTATAATTTTGATGCGGAAGTTTTTTTTTTGTTGTGGAGAAAAATGTGAATTTTTTTTGTAGAATTGAACGGATGGACGTTGCGGGTCGTGATGTGACACGTTATTTGCGTTTGTTGCTTCGTAAAGAAGGTGCTGATTTTCATCGATCCGCTGAGTTCGAGATTGTTCGGGAAATCAAAGAGAAATTATGTCACTTAGCTGTGAACACAACACGAGAGGAGAACGTCGATATTGAAAAAGTGGTTATTCATCTTATATTCCTTTTTTTTGCTTGTTAACAAATATTTCTTCCTTCCTCTTCATCTTATTTACTTTTGCTTAACTCTTCGCACCTTCTTTGCTGGATACTTTTTGTTCTTACTGACTTTTAGATTCGGACATAAGTGCAAAACTTTGATGTTTTCGTAGAATTATGTTTGTGAACAATTGGAATAAGTGAATAAGATTGTGTTTGATGAACGAATTATTCGGTAATCGANAATTATGTTTGTGAACAATTGGAATAAGTGAATAAGATTGTGTTTGATGAACGAATTATTCGGTAATCGATGATAGGTTATTTGTGAATTTCATGTAGAAAGTTTACTTGCAGACTCCATACAAACTACCCGATGGTTCAGTGCTTGAGATAGGTGCAGCACGGTTCCGTGCACCCGAAGTTCTGTTCCGTCCTGAGTTGATTGGTGAAGAATGGCCGGGTATTGCAACGGCTTTGAATGCGTCTATAAGAGTAAGTCGTGTCTCGATAATTGATCTGTTTTGAACTATTTGAATTCAGTTGATTTTTTGGAAATTTTAGTTTCTTATTCATTCTTTTAAGTATTCTTTGTGGTTCAGTGGGATTTGTGGGTGTTATTGAAATGAATTATATTGAATAGTGTTACTTTCTTTTAGAAATGTGATATGGATCTGAGAAAAGTTCTCTACAGTAATATCGTTCTGAGTGGTGGATCGACGATGTTAGCTGGATTTGGTGATCGACTTTTAGCTGAAGTGGGCTGATAACTTTTTTTTGACATTTCACTGAAAGCTTTCATTGATTTATCTTCTTGTGATTGCATCAGTAATCAAAAATGTCGTAAGCCATTACAAATGAATGAACGAACACTCCGTCGAA